AAGAATGGATGAGGAAAGATCTGAGCCTTACCTGTGAGTGACAGAAGGCACATGTTGACACATAAATCAGCTGTATTTCTGAATCTGGGGTCCAAAGTCACAAGGAAAGTCAAGAATTTATAAGGATTTTTCTATGTCTCTTCCTGCCTTACATGTTTTACTTTTGGAGGCTATACCTAGATTATAATATACCTTTCCACTGCAAGGCCAGTGACAATGGACCTAGCAGAAATTTCTCCTAGAGTCTGGAAATAGGGTGATTTGCAGTTATGTATATTTATTTTATACTTTAATAGATATTATCCTGAGAAGTTGACATGGGTCACATCAGTAACTCTGATGCAATTGCCTTTTAAATTGTGCTCCTATTAATGTGAAAAAAAAAAGAACTGGAACCCATGATGGGCCTACATTGATAAAATAAAGGTAAATGCCTAGCTTCTGTGCTCTATACTAGATAAAACCTTCTACAACTGCTTTATGAAAGGATAGTTTCTCTTAGCAAGAATATGAAGATATGGTGAGAAAACTGGATTGATTTAAGAACTGGCAACTGAAATTTATACTTAAAAAATTCTAACGTTTCCATATAAGTGACGAAAGTAAAATAAAATATTTATAATGATTATTTTAGTTTGCTTATCTCATTTTTTTAAATTTTTTTTTCTTCTGTGGGACAGTCATTCAGAGCTTACCTCATATTTATAAAACTCTTTTCCAAAGATTTTTTTCATAGGTTCTAGAAAAACTAAGTATTAATTTACTAAGGCTATAACAAAGTACCACAGAATGGGTGGCTCACACAACAAAAATTTGTTTTCTAAGGCCAGGCATGGTGTCTTGACACCTGTAATCTGTAATCCTGTAATCCTAGCACTTTGAGAGGCTTAGGAGGTTAGGAGTTCGAAACCAGCCTGAAAAAGAGTAAGACCTCGTCTCTACAAAACACAGAAAAACTGGCCAGGTGTGGTGGTGTGTGCCTGTAGTCCCAGCTTCTCCAGAGGCTGGGGCAGGAGGATCACTTGAGCCCAAGAGTTTGAGGTTGCAGTGAGCTATGGTGATGCCACTGCAGTCTAGCTGGGGTGACAAAGTAAGACCTTGTCTCAAAAAAAAAGTAAAATAAAATTGTTTTCTCATAATTCTGGAGGCTAGAAGTTTGAGATCAAGGTGTTGGCAAGGTTGGTTCCTTCTGAGGCCTCTGTCCTTGATTTATAGATAGCTTTTCCCTGTGTCTTCATGGAGTCTTCCCTATACATATGTGTCTGTATCCTAATTTCCTCTCATTATAGGACACCAGTCATATTGAATTAAGGTGAGCAAAGCCTGTCTTGTTATGCAGATGAAAGCTCTCAGGTAGTAGCCCTTGGAGAATAGATGGTAACCGTGGTGGTAAGTTTCTCTGACCTTTCCACTGTCAGACTTTCAGTCTTCTTTTCCTGTGAGTTAATCTTTCCTATATCTGGTTAAGGCGGATAAAGGGGCCTCAGGGAAAGCCTGTTTGCATCTGCTGTTTACTCCACTAATGTAGATTTCCTCTGCGGGTGCAAATCTCCCTCACAAAGGGCAGCCTTTGCCAGCCGTTCCTGTGTTTGCAGCCCCTCTGAATGCCCATCTCGAAATACTGGGATGCCATGTTTTAGTTTCCTTCATTACGATGACCTGTCACAGAATGTAATTTGTAATTTAACTGACTAAATACCTATTTAAAATATTTTAAAATTCAGGCTATAATTGTAATCATAATTGTGGGAGGTTAAGGGAAGTTAGTGGTCCCCATTTACGTCCCCATTTATACTGTTGCTATTCCCAGTGATTCTTTTCACCTGCCTAAGTCCATTCTTCTTGATTTTTGGCTTCTTATAGCCTAATATTGTTCAGTTTTGTCTTCTCATAGTCTCAGAGTAAGTTAGGAATACTAGATCCAGAAGAGTCCAAATCTAGCCACCTTATTTTTTAGATGAGGGAATGGAGGACCAGGGAGACCAGATGACTTACCTTAAAGTCACACTGTTTAGGGCCAGGACCAGAATCAAATACCTAAGCACCCGTTCTAATGTTCTTTCTGTGGTCCTTTATAACACTCCTCCCCCTCCCCTTCAAGTTTCCAAAAATATATATTTAATAGCCTCTCGAGGTATTTGAAAACAACCTTTTAAAAACTTTGAATTCATGTAAGCTGTTCTTGTAATTTCTTGCTTCAATATTGGTATGGGGTTAGCAAGGGCCTGGTCATGTCAGGATTTCCAGGAAAATGAACCAGCCAAGAGAAAAAAAAATACATAGTTGAGGATTTTTTTTCAAGTTTAAGATCCTTGTTTGTGTCTTAAGAAAATCAGGCCAGGCGTGATGCTGTAATCCTAGCACTTTGGGAGGCCGAGATGGGAGGATCACTTGAGTGCAGGAGTTTGAGACCAGCCTGTGAATAGTGAGACCTGGCTATACAAAAAATTAAAAAATTAGCTGGACGTGGTGGTGCCCACCTGTAGTCCCAGCTACTCGGGAGGCTGAGGCCAGGAGGATCGCTTGAGCCTAGGAGTTAGAGGTTGCAGTGAACTGTGATGACGCACTGCACACTACCCCAGGCAACAAAGTGAGATTCTGTCTCAAAAACAAAAAAAAGAAACAAAATCAAATAAAAATTTAAAAAGCTAAACTTATAGCAAAAAACGCCCTAAAATTGTATAAAATGTTTGACCAAGTCTCAGTAAATGGTAAAAGAAAGGAACAAGTAAGTGGTGTACCACAATAAGTTTCCAAAGGTTATGAGGACATGGTGTGTTGAGTGCTTTTCACATCGCGGATATCCTATCAGTATATACTATGGTGCTAGCACCATCTTGTGGTTGATTTGTATAGTTGCATATTTCTTTTTTATTGTAACAAAGCTGAACTTCCTTTAAGACATAACACACATACAGAAGGATTTCGGGTGGAGGTTAGATTGTAATGAATGTTAGAAAGAGAGCTTTTTGGCCCCAGTCTCAAGTTCACTTCTATCCCAGGTCAGTGGTGCCCGAATACTGTCCTTTTCCTGTTTGGCAGGCTATGTGATGTGATTGTTAGACCAGCTCCTAGTGCAGAGCTGTCTACATCAGAGAATGGCACTTCTATTGACAGTCTCAGCAGTGAGGCTGAATGGTCCTAGAAATCCAACTACCTGCAGACTATCGGAGTTGGTCCCTTAGGTCAGGGTTCAAAGAATGTTGTGGAACAGCTTGAAGCTTTTACTGCTACTACTGCACTCTCTCTTTTCATAGGTGAACGGACAACTTGAGTGTCTGAGTTTATGAGTAAAGCTAGTACCCATATACTGTTTTAAGTCTGAGATAGACTAAAGAAGTGCAAATGAGAAAGGTGAATTTAAATTTTTATTTTTTTCAAAAGGTCAAGAACTTGATGCTTCTGTTTATACTTTATCTTTTCTGTACCTATGATTTCCTGGGATATTTTACTTCTATTTCTGTGGAAGCTGAAGGAAACCATGAAAGCATGTTTTAGAGGTTTGGATAGTCAGTCTCAGTGGTAGTATGTGGTGATTGTAGCATCAGCTAAT